ATTTTATATTAAAGTGCATCACAAAGCGATTAATTGCTCAAACACACAGTGGGTTCTCTTTGATCTGTTGAAGCCTGATTTCACTCGGACATTCAGGCTATTTGCATTTCGGGAGGCACCTTTCTTGGTACTGGTTAAGGCGTGCGGATATATCGTCTATTCTGTGAATTGATAGAATTCCTTGTTACACTTACTTTAAATTAACATCAAGCCAAGAAAGTTGGTTATAATAATTGTAAATAGTACCCAGTGAATATACGCAATGCTGGAAATCACGAATACTATGGCATTGGACACGGGACTGGGCACGTTTCACAAGGTCTTCCTGACGCTCCGACCAAGTTTCGAAAATAGGGTCAAACCAACACAAAAATCTAAGCTTTGCAAAATAGCACACCGATATAATAAAACAAGAGAAAAGAGGATGGGACGCCTCATTAATACAACAATACAAGATATAAGGCTTGCAGCCGGCCAAACCATATAAAAGCTTAGTATATAGGTGCGGTATTTCATAAAATAAGAATTCTTGCTCTGATGGCGTATGTCACAGTAAAGAGAAAAGCTCAGTACGGGTTCATCGGGGTCGCAGGACGGTGAGCCGAGAACTCCTTCGCTCATTTCAACACTCTTCATTTCACATCGATCCTCCTTCGGATTTTGGTTGGACCAATTCACGAATTATTTTCAATCAACTTTACCTGCTAAATGGAGAGCCATATCACAATAACTTCCTAAGAGATTCTTTGAATCCATGCTTTTTCCATATAAAAAATATTTTCATACTAAATATTGAGGCAAGTTGACTGTAGCCAAGTTCAAACAAACTTTTGATGACTTTAGTAAGCCTTACTAAGTTGACATATATATTATGGAATGATTAGGCAATCTTGTCTGTAAAATTTTTTATGCGTTTTATGACATAGTTATTGGATGTATACTCTGACCTTTTTAGCCTACTGTAAGCGCATGAAGACTTGTGTGTATGTGAGTTCGGCTATACAAATGCTAGTAATCTTTCCGAGGTGGAGGTTGGCAGGGCAAAATTATTGGTTGTGATGCGTGACCTCAACTAATTATAAAATATATATGTGGGGAGGGTGATTCTAAATTAGTAGTAGAGCATAAATAAGAAAATGAATAGGCAAATGTAATCGCAAAATACAACTTTCGGTATAAGAATGTATCGATACTATTATCCTCCCAGGTCGCTCCAGGTGTTTTTAAGAACTGATAGTTGAGTTTTCCCACAATGAAATGAGTAAAAATCAAAGTACTATTTAAATGGACTTAAGCATAATAATGTCAGATGACCTTACATTTCGTTTAAGAAGGCGTGTAGGGGATTCATAAATTGGTCACACCGAAATTCAAAGGAGGGCTAATTTAGAGCTGCGGCTATAGATTTGTGCGAATAAATCCTCGGCTGGCTATCCTGCAACCCAGATAAAGCTTTTCTGAGCTTTCGTTCGTCATTTGAGGGACATCGTCAGAACAGTACACCATGGTTTGCTAAAGTTCACCCAGCACAAAGACAAGAAAGGCTTTCGTGCTTGGCGAATTGTCATAAAACATGACCGCCTGCTCTGATGATGTCCATTGCATGATGAATAAAAGCTCGGTAAGGAATCATCGAAGTCATGTGACGGTGAGTCGAGGTGTCATTGCACAAATCTACAGTCACATTTCCTTGGCAACCCCCTTCGACTTCCGGTGAGACTAACTTAAGACTCTTTTCATTCACCTCTTCCAAAAAATGAAGGGCGCTCCAACATTATTTTTTTACGGGATTCATCTAAAACAAGTCTTTTATACTGTCACTAAAGCTAAAATACGATGTCTCGTGAACTGTGTCAATATGTGCAGACGCAAAGGAATCTGGTCCGGTCTTCGGGCAAGCTTTTCTTAGGAAAGCCCTTTATTTCATATCTACCGCCCTCCTCCCTGCTCAGATAACCCAGCCTCAACTATCAAAGAACGTAGTCAAAAGTACTGAGGAGTCTCCGGCATCCTACCTTGAAGTTGCAAGCGATAACCACGGCGACTGGAGCGTCCGGCTCGGCCAATATGAAGCTGTGCACCTGATAAATGAGAGTGGCCAATTTTTCGCGCTGATTCGTCTCCGTGGCGTCTACGCAGAAGACGACTCGCGTCTGCTCAACATTCAGGTAGCGGTCGAAGGTGTTGAGGAGAGCACAGGCCTTCGAGAATTCCTGTCTGGCAAGCATATCGGCCGTTGAAGTGGCTAGCACAGCGCGTGATGCTTTTGTCGCCTTGGCTACCAGACTCTTGACGGACGGCGATTTGAGAAGTCCAGCCGCCGGGGCGCCGAGTTCGCCACTTCGTCCTCCGACGCCTCCATCTGGCCCGACACTGCCGGCACCCGCAGGCCCCAAGGGTCCGGCTGGACAGCCAGCCATTCCGGTGCCTAGTTCGAGGCCCACCAATGGCGTCTCGGCGTCCACTAGACCCGACGTAAGAGTAGTCATGCAGACGTCGGTGACGTCACCATTCCCATCGGCGTCTTCATGATCTCCGGCCTCCGTCATCGGCCGCCGACGACCGCCGTCACAGGCCTCGGCTAATCCGGCCTCTAGACGGGCTTTAAGCCTGGCGCACTCTGCGTCTTCGGGAGTCGAACCAAAACCCGTGAAGCCGCCGCTCAGACCTGGAGTCAGGCTGCTCCACCAAATGCTGCTGCTCCGGCCACTGGCCAGCTTCGGCTTGTTGCGTTGAGCGTGTTCGTCACGACAAGAGAAACAAGCGAAGAAGAAGCGCTGCAGACAGGCAACCAGTCTTCGTCGGCCGGACACCTTCCGGCCGGACAGGGTGGCTGCGGCACTTTTCAGGTGGCGTGTGGGCGCAAGCAACAACGAACGCATCAGTTGAAAGAGCATGGGGAAAGAGCCGAAGCAGCTGAGAAAGAGGATACAGCTGAGCACAACGAAGATGGGCAGAAGACGGCTGTCGCGAAGCAGCTCAGTTATGTCGTCGTGGGCGTGTGACAGGCCGAGCAGTATGATGAGGGCGACGAAGAAGGCAATTATCACCAGAAAAGCCGGTAAACAGCAGATCAACTTGAATCGGACATTGGAGGATGCTGTCCAGAGAGAGATTCACCAAAAGGCCGCCAAAGCACACACAGGCACAAATGTGAATCAAGGATTGTATAAATCAAATTAAGCCTTTATGATAAACTGTCG